ATCACCACTTTTTAGTCCTGATCAAAAACACCAATTAACTTAATACCAGTAATATATGTAAACAAAATTAATTAAGCACCATTTGTTGCAGAAAATAAATACAGTAATTTTTTATGGTTCCCCAAGTACTTCTTCTTCCTTAATTTAGCATTTTATCACTGAACTTATTTTTTTATTTCAATCTGTACCTATTACCAAAATAAAATATATTTGGCGTCAATAGCAATATGGCAATATTTTACAGTTCTTATATACGAAGAACCTTTTCTCCATTAATGTAGCATTTTAATACAAAGCTCTTTTGTTTTAATTATATCTTTCAGCAAAATTTATTAATTATAATTCCCGAAAATAATTACCAACGGCACTAATATTTTAATAATTAAATTTTACTAACTAAAGTCGGTACTTCTTTCGAAGGCTGTAAAAAAATCACCGATATTATTGATGCCAGTGATGCTTAATTAAATATGGTATTAAATACTCTTTGTATTGCAGTTATAGGAGCTATGGAAATGAAAACCTATTTTACAAATATATGTGCATTGCCTAAAATACCTGTTCCCAAGTCTTAATATATTATTTATTAGTTCTTGCTGAGTTTCATTTTTCAAATTTTTAGAGATACGCTTTAAGAGGGTATTTGCACTTCAAGAAGAAGATCACGAACACTCACACATGTGACCTATGACGTCAGCGCCAGCCGATAGTTTATTTTATAAATTTATAACCGTTGTTGAACAGCCGACCCAATTTTGGGTTTACGACTACTAATGTTCAACTCCGTAGACTTGTAATTTTGAACCCAATCCAGAAGACAAGGGAACTCCTGAAGGGAAGAAATTTACAGGGCGATTATGGGTTACGGGGATTAAAATTATTGATACAAGCAAATAACGATTTAACAATTTTAGGCGGATGAAAGAAGAAACGTATTTCCTCAAAACAATAATTTAGTAGAGTTTTTATTTATTTTTACATAAGGCAAAAACTTACCTATTCATAAACTTTGTAGTGATTCTATATTATTATTTACTATAATAAAACACAATGATTAGCAAACTAAGCTAAAAAGAAATAATCATTATAAACCACAAGTATTCTATGGGGTTGATCTTCATTCGATAAACTTGAACTCCAAGATTACAAAGTGGTGATATTACCTCATTTTATTTGGTTCTTCCCTATTTTATATCTGCGTCAGACGGAGTTTAAGACTCAGCATAGTTTCGTTACCATGAGAATGATATGCTGTTTGTGTTTGACGCAGTATAGCCGCTTCCGACTCTAAAAACACTAAATTTTAGATCCAAATCAAATTGAACCTGAAAATTTCAATATATTATTCCGAAATAAACACTAATGTGAAACAGCAATATATTTCAAGAGGGATAAGATTTAAAGAGGAGGGGAGGGAGAAAAAAGATTTAAAGGTGTAGGGATTTAAGAAGAATAAAACGAAAAAAAGGATTTTTAATGGGAAAGAAATAAAACAAACACACATTCGAAATTATATACTTCATTCAAACGAAAAATAAACCTTCATTACATTTCTAAAGCTGACTGCTTCATTTTTACGTCACTGACGTAAAACCCTCTTAAAGAGGAATCTTAAATATTATCTTCATAAATACTACACATCAATCATTCTCAGAAAAATTATTTCACCTTTCAAATGGGGAAAAGTCGAAAAACTGAATAACACCTAAAGAAGATTAACCCAGCTGAAGTGACGTAAAGATTTTAATTCTACAGAAATGACAACAAAAATTAATAATCGTCTGCTTTAATTTACGTCAAGGTTTTTATTTAATTTTTTTCTTCTCTGTTTTAAGTAATGCATGATCTTTCCTTATTGGAAAAAAAAATTCGACTTTTATCTTTATGACGAAAATTAATTATGATGATATATTTAGTAAGCATTCACCAATTCTTTTTTAATGAGTATTGTGGCAGGAAAGTCTAATTTTATTTCAGATGTTAAAGGTCTGAGTGTAATTAGTGTGCATAAAAAAAAATTAGACATTTCCTAGTAGAGTTTGTTTTAATGTAAAATTAAAAAGATTTTTCCCCCTTAAAATTGTAAGAAAACTCTTCAATATATGTATTTATTTACAGCGCATTCTGTAATAACTCCCCTTATAGTATAGTTTTAAAATCCAAGTTAAAAAAACAAATATACACATTAAGAGATACAAATTAATATTGAGGAAAACATTATTAAAATTTTACATTAGGTAATGTTAATTAATAAATGTTACTTTACTTTTTACCCTAAGTTAGTGGTTACTTGGTGTTACATTTTGAGTAAGGCAAAATTTAAAACGGTAAAAACCAGTTTGTTTGCTAAATGAATATCGAAAGTTCTTCTAATACTTACTTTATCACTCTTAAATGTATAAGCTAATCAAGTCTTTTGATGTTTTTAATCTCGCCCTCCTCATTTATGTTTCAGCAGGTTTCTATTAATTTTTTTTTTCACACCTGAATGTCTGTCAGCGTACCTTATAATGTGTGTACTTCTTTTCAATTTTATTTTTAAACAAAAATAATTTAAGGATTCTAAAAATAAGTGATTAAAGTTTATGATTTCAAAAACAACCTGCATACACATAGGGGGTCACAAATTAATACATAAGCTATAAAAAAAAGCTATAAGAAGCAGACAATTAACTTTGAATGGAAGTAAGATTAAAAATGTCAAAATCTATTAGATTGATGAGGCGAATATTAAAAATATCTCTAAATTTCACCTGACAATCAAATTAGTTCTGGTACTTTTCCTCAAAAGTGATTTATCGAATTCAAACAACGTTTATGTGTTAGGTGGGCATGGAGGACTTTGAGACCCGATTCATTCAACGTGCACCAGTCACCTTTTACTACACGGGGAGTCTTCGACGGGCAGGGATCGAAGTTACGATCTCTTGGACATGGACTCAGTGCCGTACCAACCATGCTATCCCGGCCCTAGAGGGATATTGATCCAGAAGTTTCCTGGTCTTATGGATTGAGTTCAAAATTACAAGACTACGGAGTTGAGCATTGGTAGCCTAAACTCAAAACTGGGACGACGATTTATAAAATAAAACGTTTATGTGTTTTTTTGCTTACATATTACTTATTTATAATCTGTAATAGTTTGGTTATTGTACCACCGCTATCATTTTGACATCATTTTTGACAAGGCTTCTAAAAATGTAGGCTATATAATAAGGATAGAGCTTTGAAGCATAACGCTGGCCAAATTGTCGATTCCTATATATTTTCGCGAAAATGTGAAGACTTAACTTCTATGACCCAACTCGTGGTTGACAAAATTAATTGTTACGGAAATATGAAACTTTACTTTTTTTTTTATTGCAATTAGCGATATGAAGTGTTAATATTCGGTGGGTGACTGTTGAATGAAAACATATTGTAACAAAATTAACAACTTTGAAGTGAGTAAATATGCTTACTAAATAAGTTGCTTAAAAATAAGTTTCCGACATTTATTCACCAATAAAATAATATAAAAAACCATAGTTGTAATGCAAGAGAATTGAATAAAAGAAATATCCCAAAAAGTTTGTTTTTATTTAAAATAAATGATATTTACTTATTATCCCGTGAACCATTTTCTCCAAATCTGAAGATAAATTTTGAAATTATATATCTTTAAATAATATCTCATTTTTGAAAGCAATAAGTTGTCAATTTCTTTATAATCAAATACTATACTAAAATAAATCTGAAAGACACCAAAATGACTTTGGCGCGATGTTGGCGAAAATGGTCGATAGGATAATACGTAAGTACCAAATAATTAACTAAATTCCCTTTTCATTCAGTACCTAAATTACTAAGAAATTTAAGTCAATTTTGTCAGTTTACTGAAAAGAAGAATAAAAATCATACATCAAATTTCAGTGGTTCGGAAGTATGAGAAATCTTATATCTTTTACCGCCTACTTTTTCCGAATAAAGCATCGTCGAAAACTCTGTAACTTAAATTGTTATTAGTGCTCAGAATAAATAAAAGAGGAAATAGATAAATTATTTTTCTTTCCTTTGAAAAATAAAAAATTTATAAAAATGGAAAGACTGCATAAAAAAAAATTTAAAACGCTAAAATAAAAAATTAAAGAAAAAATGGATAAAAAATTTAAATAATGAAACAAAAAATTAAAGTGAAAAAATGGATAAAAAAAAATAAAAGTGCATAAAAATTCAAAAATTGTAATAATAAACAAAAAACATCTTGAAAACTCTATTTACTCGTGAAAAATAAAGAGCCTAGATAAATCTATCATAAAAATCAAATTAAATCTCGCCTAACTTACCAAAATGAGAAAAATACTATTTCTTCAAAATCTGAATTTACCGCCCATTTGGCGCTGTTTCTGTTTGAAAATATATCGATCGATAAAGCTGTTTCCAGAAACTTCAAGTTTTTTATTTTATTTATCTATTTGTGGAAAAAGTTTATTTCTAGAATTACTAACAATGTATAATAATTGTTATTTCATAAATTTCAAATTTCCATATTGGCATCTTTAGGAAGTATAAATAATTCGCTGTTTTTGCTAAGGGGGAGAAGAAAAAAAAATTTTATGTTGTGAATTTAATTATGAATTGGAAAAATATTTTAGATCTCTCCAAAACGAAACCGTCATTCTCATACCTCCCAAGAGTAAAAAAAGAGATAAAAATGATCATCATCAGTTAGGAATATTTCATCTCATCCAGCAGTGGGACCACTCAGCAAACACGTGCCCGCCGGCATATGTAGGCGTGGTTCTACTCGAAGAATCTAACCAATCAAACAGTCGGCTTCTCACCTGATCATGGAGCGATGTCATGAAGCGGATATAGACCAACCCAATGTCGTGTGGGGTGCTCAGTTTTATTTACGTATTTATTATTTATTAATTAAACATTAATTAGTTTATATTATTAAAAATTAATATTAAGAAAGTTATAAATCTAAGAAATGCCATTTATTTGCTATTTTAAATGTTATCCTTGTGAAAAACTGCTTCGCCGACAATAATATCAAAGTTTGAGTTCGAGATTACATGATACGATTCGTGACGTACTTCCTTCTTTACTGCCTAGGAAAACGGCTAACTTCGCCTAAGGCTAACTACACGTTTTAAAAACCAGTAATTCGTACTGTTATGGAACGCCCTAGGCGATTGTCATATGCTGGATTTGTGAAGCCACCTCAACAAAAATCTCGACGAGTGTCAGACGCAAGACACAGTGGAATTAATTCTCAATCAACGTGCATGACTATAAAGAGCGGTGCGGCTTCTATCGAATCATCCGAAGCTAAGTCTTCTTTAATGTTAAAGGAATCCAGTAGATACGAGATGAATTTAAACCGCCCCACACGTCGTACTAGCCGGCCAAGTCGGGGAGATGATTCTTTTACTTGTTCTCAACAGTCAGTTCTTAGCGCTATGGACCGATTTGTGAAAGCCATAAACAACATGGATTCAACAGTCTTGGTGCCTTCTCGATTACAGGATATGGAAGTAAGCAACGAAAATAGTAAATTTTCTAAATGCTTACCGTCTGGCCTTAATAACGCAGATGTATATAGATTCTACACCATGTTAAAAGAAGTGAAAACTGAACTTTTGTGGGGACCTACTTCGTTGGCTACCCCTGAAGTATCCCTTCCTTGCAGTGGTAGATCATCTCCCAGTAACAGCAGTAGAGTTATGAAACATATCCGTCAGCCATCAGATGACAGTTTGGGTAGCACAGGTTTTCCCTCAGATCAAGAAACTGACAGTGATATTGAAAGTGTTGTGACTGATCGGGACAGTATTGAAGATCAATCATCAGTTCCTCCTGGTAATCACCTAGCTACTGCTTTTCGGCATCACCTTCTAGGACTGCACACAATTTTGAATGAATTAGCAGATTCAGCAGACTATTTGTCTTCCAGGTACCAGGAGGAAATCGAAGCAGCCTCTGCGTAACCTATGTTCTAGTGTAGTTCAAATGTAAGTAAAGAAAAAAGACAATTTTTGAAACGTTAAAATATTTTGCAAGATGAAATGCAGATCAACTCAACAAGAAACTTGTGATGCTATTTCTTGCAGCTTATTCAGAACTTCGTAAGTGGCTTTAATGATGTGATCTCTGGCTTTAGGTTATGTTCAACAAAACTTAATTTAGTTTCCTGTCAATGTATCCTTGGTATAAAGCGAAAAAATTAACTTCTCATAAGCTCATTCTTTTTTCAAATTTGTTTTCCAAGGATAAGAATTAGCAATCCCAAAGAAAAATATCTTTACCCGGTGTTGAAATATCTTGCATTTCCATATTTCAAATTAATGGTGACAATATATTCTCAATTGAAGAATTTAAAACTTTTTCTGTAGTTTTGCTTATTTCAAATTTTGTATTTAAATCTTTAGTCATTATTTATTGCAATTTCTGTATATTTATGTACAAGATGTAGGAATTTCGGTGTGGTATATAGCTGCAACCCCGTTTCCACTTTTCTAAATCAAGTTCCTAGTCTTATTTATGCATAAATTTCTTCTCACATTCCTTGCTATTCATATTTGTATGTTTATTTACTTTTATTTAACATAAACTGAGAAGAATTCATAATGTACTGCATATCATAGCAACAGCCACTTAACTTTTTAATCTCTAACCTCTTTTTCAATTAAATTAATAACATAGTTTTCATAAGTTTTATGGATTTAACATTTTTAACTGAAAGAATGCTAATATCAAAATTTTTCAAGCAAATATTGCAAAACTCTTTCGTAGAATTAAAATGTACTAAATTTCAACAAAGTGCAACGTTTGTAAAAATTGCTTTGAAAATTATATTTTAATTAAAAAGTCATATTATGAAATGAAAATTTCGATACGATAATTAGACTTTATAATTATTAATCTCAGATTATGTACTATTACAATAATCTTGTTTTTAATATATAGATTTTAATTTTAAAGTTTACAATTATCGGAACAAGTTTTTTAATTAAATGTTGGAAAAGTCGATATAGCATTAAATGCACTTCTAACACTAGTTCCATTTTTAAAAGTTAAAATTCATAAGAAACATGAAAGTTTTTCTCTAATTGTTATTCTAAAAACTTTCCCTCTTTTTTTTTTAATAAAAAGTAAAAAAACCTTTTGTTATTAGGCTTTTAAAATTTTTATGTGAATATTTTATAAAGTTAATGTATTTCATTCAATGGCTTTAATCAAGATTTATAAAAAAATATTCTTACGCAGCATGTTATTTTCGAACATTAAAACTGATTAATTTAAAAATATTTTAGTAATTGTTGGTTTTTTAAAGAGATTTATCTTTTTATAGCAAAGATGTAATACTTAATGTTTTTTAGGATATTATGAATGAGTTTATTATGCATTCATTCTTCTTTAAACCTAGAATAGTTACTGTATTAATATAAAATTGTTTCTTAACCTTACAAAAAGATTCAAAGCTTATCTTTTTTTTATGTTGTTTTGACAAGCTTAAATTTATTTGGGATCTATATTATTCTCTTAATATCAAAAATTAACCTGGTGAAAATTTGTTAATATAACTTTAATTATTTATGAAATGTTTTAAGTTTAAAAAATTTTATTGACTCATTTTTTGATTTATATTGTACATTAAGACTTATTTCGTACTTATGTTCTATTTAATAAATTAAATGGGCATTCATTTTAGTTATTAAATTTCATCAACCTTATTTAATGTTTTATTTCATAAGAATTTTGTATTTCTTTTCTTTCAATAGATACTTTGTATATATTCATTATACGCCATCATTTTGTAACTAATTACTTAGTAATGTAACTAAAATATTCTGCTTTAGGCACTTGCATGCCAAACTATAAATCAACCAAAGATAATGATTCTGCATTCTGGAGTTGTTAGTATTTAAAGATGTCTGTAAATCTTTGATGGTCTAACTAATAAAATTTAAGCTGTTGTTTACGTAGTTGTTGATTTTTTATTAGTCTATTTTTTTAAAGTTTACCTATTCTAAATATTGATGACATATACTCATATTTTCTATTGTTGTTACAATTATAGTCTATCATAATATCTAACTATAAATTAAACTTAAAGTGGAGTTTTAACACAAAAGGTTTGTGTTAAGCGTTCTTCGAAGGCTCTGGCGACTTATGAAACTTTTTTTTTTCCTTAAATTAATGTAATTTTTTTTTGTTAAAGTTGTGAGCTGGTCATCTTTATTTTTTACTTTTAGGTTAAGTCTTTACCTTATGATTCTAATTATTGAAATCTACAGTTTATGTGTATATATAGTTTAATACAGGGATNTTGTATTATTACCTATGTCTACCAACTATAAATTTATCTTAAAAAAATAAGTGGTGCCCGCCATTCAACCGATATTCTGGTATTTACTCTTAGGTACAAAAAGGTTGGGGACCCCTGGTTTAATATATAAAAAGTTAATACAATACTGCTTTGTTTGGGCTCTTAGAAATGTTAAAATTGAGAAATCATTCATTTTAATGTCTTTCTGATAATGAAAAAAGTTTTGCAAAATCGGAGAATTTTTTAAAAGTTTAAATTTTTTTTTAATATGTGAGCTATTTATCATTTTAACAGTCAGATTAATGTTTTTAGCAAAATCATTCAAAAAATAATGCACTCTTTATTCTGAAAAAAATGAAAGGGAACATTCAAAGTTTTTATATTTTCCATTATCGTAGAATAATTTGTTACTTTTAAAAATGTCCTTATATAATTTAGCATTATTAATTGTTGAATGAATAAGTATATTGATAATGATGTTGACATCAATTAAATAATTGAATTTTTATGCATTTATCAGTAAATTTATAATCAAGGTTTAAAAAGTATAGTGTCAATACTATAACATATATGTTTGAATTGTTCGAAAAATCATTTACTATGAGCGAAATTGTTGCATTCAATTTAAATTAGATATATAGATCTATTAATGTTATTAGACTGTAATGGAAAATACATATTAACCATTAGGGGGTATTTCCGTATTGTGATCTGTCACGACAACTACAATCGCCAAGGTGCCAAATAAATTTTAAACTTGCACATTTTTGTTTTAAAAAAACATGTAGATATTTACCCGGCAGTGGCTACAAATTATACCTTTAGAGTTGGTCCCTTTATGTGATGTTTGCATTGAAGTTTCCAAAACTGCTATTATTCTGCCACAGATCAGGATACGGAAATCTCCCCTACCATTAGTCAACAGAATCTTAAACAAATCTAATTTTTTGATCTATTTTAATTGACTGTTAAAAGTTTGATTTTAAGATTTTTTTTTATGAAGCAGCTAATTTGGCAATGATTTTAAGAAACACGAGTAGATTATTTAATTGCATAAAATTCAAGATACAGATTTTCAAGTTGAGTAATGTGTTGTTAAATAATAATTTTGATCAACTTTATATTTTTTCTGAATCAAAACAAAGCTTATATTTGTTTTCTTTTTTACATTGAAGGGGATGTTTTAATATCTGTACTTGGCGATTATTTTGGTGCTGGTACCAATACATTGGTGTTACCAGCATCTCATTTACTTTTGTCAACAGCTTGGGAAGATCATTTTTATCATTAAAAGAGTCTTTTAGCAACTAAAGCTATTTATCACTGTAACGGTTATTAATTTTTTGATAATTTTACAAAGGAAAGGAAGTGTATAAGACACGAGATAGCAAATTTCTGATAAATCAATTGTATAAGTCGACTTCTGAGAAAGGGGAATAAAAAAAATACCTTCGTTGATAATATTGAATCATCTTGAACTGAATGGTTGATAGAAAGAGAAAAACTAATACAAAAATTGGAAATATTTCCACTACTCCTATTATACTACTCTATTTCCACTATTCCATGTGCTGAATGATAATAGACTCTTGACAAAATGTTGATTTAAATGGTTTTTAGAATGTGTGGAGTTATGATTTCGTGAGATGAGTTTCAACAGTAATTTTTGTAGATCTCAGCCGATGATGCTAGAATAGATTCTATTGTTGAGAGGAAAGCTTATGATAACTGTGCTAACTTTATTGAATCCGACACTGATATTTTGGAATCTTTAAATTTAGGGATTTATGGAATTTTTTAAAAATTTCCACTGTTACATTTTTGAAATAATCTTAAATAAATTATTACACTATTCTTTTTTTTCCTCAAATGTAATTTAAAGTACTGTTTGTTTAAAAAAAAACTTAGTGTGTATTAAAAATATGACGAAAAATTTAGAATTTATTGTAAATAACATGATAAAAATAATTTTAGAAAGGGGCAAATTGATATATACATTTTTCTTCAATATTTTATGATCAACGAATGTCAGAGTTTATTACTGGTGTGTAACTCAATATCCTAATTTTCAAAAAATTTTAGGGTTTTGGAAAGTCGACTTGTGCACCATATTCATTATTTCTAATTATTTTCAAAATTATGTAATTGAGAGTTATAAAATATAATAAGTAATTAAAAATTTCAATCAAATTTAAAAACCATAACTATTCTTGCACCGTCATGTTAATACAGTTTATGAAATGTGATGAATTAAATATTTTAGTAAGCTGGCACACAGTCAGTGAAAATTTTGGAATTATAAATCTTATTAAAGAAAGACTAATAATCTTAAAATTAAAGTATTTATTTAAATGGAAACAATAAAGTTGTTTTAATGGACTCTGATTGTTTCCTGGATTCTTATTCCACTGAAAAACTGTTTTACACTTAAATTATTGTCCTAACTTCACTAAATTCTGAAAAAAATTAAAGGGTTAAATTGTGTTACCCTATATTTAAAAATATTTTTGCAATTTTTCATTTATCTGCATCCTTATGGGAAATTTCTCTGCAGACAAGTTCATTACTCATCCACCATAGATAGATATAAAAAAAGTTTGGTAAGGGTACGCCTATACAAATTCATACAATATATTTTCTCAGCATATAGAACATTTTGAAATGATCCTGAGAGTCCAAAAATTGCATCACTCTCCATTTCTAGATAATCCCGGCCAGTAAATTTTTTTTAAATATTTCCTTGAGATCTGTAAGGATTTTTTTTTTCTTCCTAAGTTTAATTTAGTCTTGTCCAACAATGTTGGAAAAAAAAAGTTATTGGGGCTGTACAAAAAATGAAATGTAGTGTTCTGTATCTTTGGAGATCGAAAACTTGTCATTCGTATTTTCATTTAAAAAAGGTTAAAAAATTGGAAGTACCCCTAAATTGTTCATTTATGTCCTTGCAAAAACAAAATTATCTTAATTTTCTTCCGGACTTGAAAGTTTTTGGAATAAAGGCATATAAAAGCATGTTTTTTTTTTTTTTTTTTTTTTGAGACGGAGTCTTGCTCCAGGCAGTGCANTTTTTTTTTTTTTTTTTTGTATCATCTTTATTGTACTGTAATAATTTCCAAATTGTATGGAATTAAGTTACTTTCCAAACAACAAATAGCATATTTGTGCTGAGCTTATAAAGAAAATAAAACAACAATGCAAATAATGTGATACTTCCATGTAACCTGTCCAAAACTCCTTTCAACACAATAAGACTTACCAGCATTCGCACAGGGAGGAGATATTCTGTGCTTCTGATACTTGCTTTAGTGCTGAATAAATGTAATTATTAATTATGTTGAACAAAAAAATAGCGCCATTTTTTTTTTTTTAAAAAAGACCCTGGTGATTTGGATTGTGATTTAAATAATGTGAACACTGGTTCCACATTATATTTAATACATTTCTTTTAAAAAATATGAATGTAAAATTTTTTTACACCTAATCAAGAAATGGTGTGTTGGTTATATTTTCAATAAATTAATTTTAAGAATAACGAAAATTTCTACTCAACTCTGATCTTTTTATTTGAATTTAATTGGTATAATTTTACAATTTGCTTTTATTAAAATGTATAATGTAAGTGGCTTAAATTCCTTTTTTTTTTCCTTTGCGGTTATATACACTCTTTAGTTCGTATTTTAATTTATTTTTATTTACAATAATCACAGAAACACTACTAGGTTGGAATGAAGAATTTTCAAGAAGATAAAAATATTTATTTTACAAAAATGAATGAATAAATAAAACTTTAATGATATGTAAATGAACAGCTTAGGGTAATCCATTATTAAAATCACACTTTACCTAGGGACATTTTTGCTTCAAACCGATCCTTAGTATTGTTTTCTGGTATGTACTTCCAGAATTTCCTCTAGATAACATCCTATGTACTGAAATCTATTATTGACTGATACAGGGCTAATTGGTCAAGTTTAGTTAGTAGGGTTGGAGCTCCCCATTGCATTATTTTGTTATTTTTTTCTTGAAAATTAATTCAGTCTTTCGTATTCTTCTAGAAAATTAATTACGTTGGTTACCTTCTGTTTCAACTTAAGGTTCTTGTAGATAGATCTCTTCCAGGCTATGAAAAATTTGGTTGATCAAGTTTTGGTTGTTTAAAGTGGTAGGATGTGGTAAGCGGACATTGTATTTAGTGCGACACTTTGCCTACTCCTCCACAGGCACCTATGTTACCGGTAGCCGGGCAGAAGCGTTATTTAAATTAGAAATGGTATGTTTGATTATGAGCTTAATTAGAAAAAATAAATAATAAGAAAGAATATGCAAAACAATGACCAAGAAAAATTCATAAAATAAACAGACCTTGAAAGCATTTCTATATTAAAATTACAAACGTAATAATCATGGTGAGGTATTGAAAATTGAATTAAAATATTTAATTTGAATTTTATTTACATGCTTAAGATTTTTAATTTATTCTCCATTTTGTCCCCTTTATTTCGTGTAGCGTGATGCGTGAATTATTAAAAATGATAAAGTAAATTAAGCTGATAAGTTTATTATTTTATTTAATTAAACAAAATTTTCATTAACAGTTTGTTAAACTAATAATAACTAATAATTAAAAACTAATAACAAGACTTTGAAAGAAA